GAAAACCAGCCACAGGGGAATACTGGACAGCCAGCTGTTTCATCCCACCAGTTTGGGAATCATCGTCAGTAAGCACTCACCAACAGGGTTCGAACGCAGGACTTTCCGGTTACAAGGCAAGCTAGCTCGTATACCATTCAGCCACTGGGACCCAATTCAATGGCCAGCACATGAATTCTAACTTCATTATGGATAAGATTTTATTTTGATTAATCACACAGTGTTGTACAGTAAGATTAACTGATGACGTTTCGAGCACAAACTATTGACACTCATAATCATATCAAGTCACTACTTACACAACTTTTCCCTTCATTCAATATACATTTGTGGAATCGATTAGATATTGGAATAAAGAAACACTCGTCTTATTTCCCATCTGATTGTAATTGATCCATAACACTCATATTATTATTATTTCTGAATGTACATTATCCTATACTGATTTTTATTCAAATGTCTAATCATCAATTGCACTCATGGATATAAATGAATTAAAAAGTTGTATGAGTGAATTCGTACGAATATGAGCAATAGTTTGTGCTCGAAACGTAGTAGTAATAATAATTCTATCAGTAACAAAGATGAAAAAGTGGAGCGATCTGTGATAACAAGAATAAGTTGCAATTTAATTGTGATTTGTCAACTGGGATTTTATTCTCGAGACTTTCCAGGAGTATTTGAAGAACTTTTTACGCAGCAAACTTTTGTTTGTCATCATTCTCTAGCTGACAAACGATTGGGACGCATCTACGATGACAGTTCATGTTGGTGCGTACTACTAGACAACTTAGCCAAACATCATATTACTGAACATATCCTATCGTGGTTTAGCAAAGGACAAACAAAAACCATTTGTAGCTCTGTTTTGTTAGATTTACTTGATAGTGGTCATCTAGTGGAGAAAACGAAAGCATTCATCGCATTTCACCGAATCTTTTTGATAAACTTCGTATTTGACTACTGTACATAGCTGAGGTGATAAGCATTTAAACTATTAAGCCTAAACTATCATTCAAAAGAAGTTCGTACAGCCATTATCCCTCCCTTGTTGGCCTATTATAAGACCTAACCAAATGATGATGTCTCTACTACCCCTTCATTAAGACATGATTTATTTACTTCCTTTACAATCTAGCATTACGTAATCGGTTCAATTGTTTCTTTTGGCCTTTATCGACTACTATGTCTGCCTGAACATTTGTTTGTTTAATCATGCTGTTTCTCATTTACCTTGTTATCACAAATCGCTCCACTTTCTCATCTCTGTTATTGGTAGAATCATTATTATTATATACACACCAGCTTATTATCCTATTGACAAAACACCGTGATTAGTTTATATTTGAATATTTATTTGCAAGGTTATGCTGTATATTAGAGTTAAGCCTGATGAGGTCTAATTGAAAACAATATTGTTCTAAATTTTACAATAGGAATATTCACTTCCAACATAAATATATATATTTACATCCTCAGCAAGTTTATTATTGAAGGAATTGAGCGAAAAGCACCCGTAGGATGCAGTTTTCTCTTCTGCATCGGTGCGTTCAGCAGGAGAAATCATCGGGTGACAATCTTGCTTTACATGGTATGGGTTCAACCCCTGGTCCCCGGCTCACTCCTAAACTTCACTGATTAGCTGGTACTAAGCAGTATGGTAAAGAGGTACGGTTGGTGGTGAGTGAGGCTAGCAACTCCATCCTGTGAAAAAGAAGCAACAACCTTGCTACTGAAACTTCAAAGCTGAGGCTTGAAACCGGAACTCAAAAGAATGAAAAAAGACAACCGATTTTGTGTCACTATGGTACTTTTTCTGTTGTTGAGAGTACGATTGGTACATTATGTAAGTATCCAGAGATGCGCCACACACAAAATCTCAGTTTGTGCGAGGAATTGGGATACGGACCAGAACCCCCAAGCCAGTAGAACGGCGTCAGGAGCAGCTACGTTCCCATGGTTTCCGATAATCTAAACAGGTTCATACACCATTTAATCCTTTCGGATTGTGGATCCCATGTAAACCACAAGTTTGGAATCAGGTTTTCGTTTACTAACTCTCCTAGACAGACATCTACATGTTCACCATTCCGGTTTTATAAGTGCCACACATTCTCTCTCATTCGTCTTTTCATTTTTGCAAGGAACACTCCCTCTTACCATCGCATGAACACAGTGAATAGGACTTGTTCAGCAGAGTGGTAGGCTGTGAACGTGTGGTCACATGTTGTGAGAGGATTTCGAGAGGAAGACCCCACCTCGCCGCCTCGGTCGTATCAGGTCGTTTACGGGGGGTCTGTAGCTTAGATTATACACAAAAATTGAACATCACAGTAAGGTAAATATGAAAGAAAAAAGTTTTGATTAGCAGAATGTATATATACATATATACGTATTCAATCAAAAAATTCCAAACACCACAGCTGTTGATTTGATCATTTCCTTAGTTCTTTTTTATAATTGTCTTTCCCATTGTTGATACTGTTTTACAAATGTAACCGTCACAAAAAATTCCATTTTATACCTACATAAGTACGTATGCATGTATGTAATCAGCCTCCTTATAATCTCTTGGCTTCACCCTTTTCTCTCTCTCTCTCTATGCCTCTGCTCCTCCCCCTCCTGTTAGATATTTATTTATCGTTGACCTGGTTGCTAGCCTTTCACTTCTCATTATACCACACACCACACGACACCACACCATACCACACACACACATACATCATATAGGACAATATGAATACACTGTTCTAATTAGTAGACAATGTTGTAAGCAGACAAGATTGGCGGGTTTTGGCGTTTGTGTGTGTATGTGTGTGTATGCGTACGTACGTATTTGGTGGATTCGAATTTCTTCTTTCTACCTAATGTCTTTGAGAGTCTCATATCTAGTACACAATCTCGCTGTGTAGTACGTACATCCATATCTATCTCTCTATATATGCGAACTAGAACACATACACAGTCACACTCACACTCACCTACACAGTTATATGTATGTAGACAAATTGTTTCAAAACCGGATTATTCAATCAATAGTTTAATTCTGAATGTATATGCCGAAATAAAAGAAATCATTTGATCAAGATGTGATTATTACTTTCTCTTCCTTACACATGTGTTACATCATCATTTATGTGGTGTCGTCTATCCACCCAGCCAGTCATTCATCCATTCACCTTTCACTTCCCATCTCTGTTTGCTTTTATCCGCTTTGGTCACAGTCATCATCGGTTTACCTGACTGACTAAATAACGACTGTCACACTCTCCAGGAGGCGAAAGAGAAGATGTGAACTAATTATTCCTTTTTTTACCGCCAACAGCAGAAATACAGTCGTAGAGAGAATGTCGGTGTTTGTTTTCTCGTCGTCGTATTTTGTTTTTATAAAGCTCAATTCGTGATTTCTCTTTCTATATTTTACCTCCTCCAAATGTCTTTTCTTCTTTCGTTTAATAGAGAGAGAGAGAGAGAAAAAAAGATAATAAGCCGCACTATTTGAAAAGGTGTTTCTTTTTTGCCTATTAAATTGCGCGCGTGTGTGTATGTATGCGTAGGATTTCGGATTGTTCGTGTTTTATAAGTGTCTCTCTGTCTGTCTGAAACTTATCTATCATTTATGCACGCTCGGTGGTCGCGGTTCCCTTTATACCCTGAATATTTAAATCCTTCTGTCACATTAGATTGTTGTTTCTTTAGTTGTTAAGTAAACTTTTTTTTGTATTCCTTTCGCGTTCCAACTGGAACATAAGGGGCTTCAAGCTAGAGGCTTGAAGTTTCGGTAGTAGTGGTGTTTATTTTTACGGGATTGGGTTGCTAGTCTCATGCCCGAGCTTCCCTCTTTACCAGTCTTATTACTAGCTTAACGAGGTAAAGGAGTGCGTGTGTGGCCGGGTATCGAACTGCGAGCCACATGCATGGTTGGCAAGCATCCTAACACTGTACCACCGACGCACTGTTAAGTGAATAGGATTGGAATATTTATGCGTTTACTTAGTGTATCTTACAAATGTGAATTATATATATATATATATATATATATATATATATATATTGTTACGATTATTATTCCCTTGGGAGTTCCGTCAAGTGGAACATAAGGGGCTTCAGAAGCACATCCCTGTCTAATTCACTTTGTTCTCTATTGGCCTTTTTTACTGGCCTCACGAATGCTTAATATGCCTCCATCTCTTCCATATCATCCTTGGATTACTGCCCAACTCATCTTTCTCCATTCGGGTTCCACTCGGAAGTTGGGAGAAGGAGGAAGCCTGGTGTGTTATACTACTCAGCAGTCTCCTCCGCATATCTCCAATCCATCTTTGTATTGGTTGAGTGATAGGCAGTTCTTGCTTAGTTCACTGAATACCAGAGTTCTGTGTTGTCGTTTGTTAATTTTTTCTGACAAGCCATCTGATCACTCGGTATGACTGACTGGTTTTAGCGCAGAACCTTTGCACAGAAGTGTATCATTTCAACTTGCCGCACTCCGTATATCAAACAAACAAAGGTAAAAGAAAGAAAAGAAGAGATTCGAGAGAACGATAATTGGCAAAAGTGTGAGAAAGAACGAAAGAATAATAACACATTGATAAACAATGGGGTTTCATTAGATATGAGAAATCGAAATGAGTGAATGTATCTACTACATTCAGAAAAGATTTTGAGCCATATCACAAATTGTCTTCCAGAGCCATGGGTTCTTAGCATTGTGAGCACCCCAACCAGTCAATCTACACTGTCGCCTCCCTTCAGCATAGTGCCAGCATAGATGGCCTTTGTTGATGGAAGTTCGCAGTAGCCTAGTCTGTTTTTAACGCCTTTCGTGATCTCTAATACCGGCTCAGTGTTGAAGTTTGAATTGAGCTGTAAACATTTCCGGGTATTCTTAAGCAAAGAAATATGTTCATTACTCACTCAGTGTTTAAATTTTTCTTTTAACAACTACACTGTCTTTACTACGCCTTATTTTTACCGTCTATCATCTATTTTCTATTTAGAATTCAGATGCATTTGGTACTCTGAGAAACTATTCATCTGCTGCCTCTGTCGCTGCAGCCTATCATCAGCAATTATCATCACCACGTTGTGCCATTAACAATAACAATAGCAATAGCAATAATTCTATGAATCGTAGTGATCTTTCAGGACATAACAGTTATGCAAGTAATCCTACTCCTTCATCTTCAGGATCATCATCATCATCATCGGCGTCGGGATCACTAACTCATTCCTCCTCGACGGCATCATCTTCATCTCCACCACTGTCTGTACGATCTAGTCTACAAGAACTTTATCAACATCATCATCACCAACAGCAGCAGCAGCAGTCGACTGTCAGACCACCAATTCAGGAGGTAACAACTCGACAACTTTTATCTGAAGCAGCTGCAACAGCGGTGTATGCACATGGTTTAGGTAATTTACACTTTTAATTAGCTATTTGTTGTCTTTATTATTTTTTTGCAAGTTTCTTCACGGGATTGATATCAACTAAGAGAGCCATCGAAAACCATCAGGGAGTACTGAATAGCCATTTCGTCCTAGTTTAGGACTTTTCAGTAGTCTGTCTGGATTCAACATAGAACTTGCCAGCGAAGTGCACCAGTTCGAGTTGCCACCTTCCAAATAGCACACAGAGGTAGACAAGAAGATGAGTGAAGAGAATCAATACAGTCTGACAAGTATAAGAGTGAAACAGAATAGGTAATGGTAGAAAGGAATATGAAAGATTACAGAGACTGAATACATCTGCGATGGCCATTGACAACGATTTTGAGCCATGTCACCTATTGTCTCCAGCCATTGATTCCTAGAGTCCCGAGGGCCCCAACCCGGGAGTCTGCATCTCCTACCCTACCTGACTCAGTCTAACTGTCAAGGATTTCATGGATTGATGAGGCCATGTTTTTGTTTGGCCACCACTGGCTCTTTTCCAACCTGCACCTATATCAGCTAGTAATGCCCGTCCGGGGGTGGGGAGGCGATGGTTAGGCAGGCATGCGCAGCACGTGACCTAGCCATCTCAATCTATGTAACTTTATAGCCTCGTCGATTGATTTTCCCCGTTTGCCCAACACTCTATGCCTAACGTCAACATTACTTACCTTATTAAACCACCTAACGTGAGAAAGAGATCGTAGACATCTATGAACAAAAACAGTCAACCTTTTCATGTCTTCAACTCACTTTTCAGTAGTGCGCATCCACCGTCGAGGTTCGAAACCAGGAGCTTCCAGCTACCAGGCGAAAGCTCATATACGATTAATCGGCTGGGACATGATCCGGCCTAGCAGCCCAAGAACCCTAACTTCTACCAATTCGTGATTTTAGCCCGACCCCTAGCCAATGTCGTTGGTGTGTACTTTTTCTCACTCTCGATATGCTGAACCCCATTGGTCATGACTTCTCACTAGAACTTAAGTCAACTTCCTCCAGTACCCGGTGACTAGCAAGCATCAGATTAATTTTCATGAGTTAGTTTGTAAGGATTTGATTCGCATCACTTTTGATCATGGATTAATATCGGTTAGAGAACCACTGAAAACGAGGACTCTTCAGTACTACTCGGACTCAGAAAATTATACATATATATGTAAAAATAAGGTTTACCTGCTACAGTAGTTCACTGGTAGGATGCTGAAGGCAGAACCCATGCCTTATGTGGGAAGTCCCGCTCCGACAGACTTACTCCTATAAACATCACTGCTTAGCCAGTAATAGATAACCTGATAGAGAGAGAGAAAGTGTCAGGCTACCAGAAACTAGTGTGGCTTTATATTTCTTGGATGGATGGACGTACTTTCATGGAAATGGAAATGCTTGGCGTGACAACAGTTTGACTGATTAGTTTGTGTAGATTATACATTTCGATGTGAAATGTTGCGTGAAGTATACATCCTGATCACAATATGTGATCTGAATATTTTAGATTTTCTGTGGAAGTTGTGGGGTGGATATTTCACCGAAAATGGTGAATTTTTTTCTTATTTTATTCTAGCAATAATTCACCCAAGTAGCCTAATAAGGGAATTTCGGTAATTTGAATTGATTTGGGCCCACTGAGGTTGAAACTAATTCGGTGTGAATCCTAAGTGAGTACGAAGCAGTTACTTGGTATGTGTGTTAAGATTGCTGCTTCAACTTTCATTGATTAAGTTGACGTTGGTGGTTATCAACTACTTATATCAATCAGTAGTGTGTATACATTCTAATTCGTAGGAAGATTAATAAAATATGGACTTACCTGTTCATTACCACTGATCCAGGAAGATTGGTTTTTCATCTTAGTTTCTAATGCTTGTTTAGTTACAGACAGACAAGCAGAATACAGTGTGATAGTGTTGTAGCCTTAAAGTAGACAATCATTCATTTGAATAGATCACCAGTTTGTTCTTTTCTGCATAGTACATTCAAAACTGTAGTATTTTCTAGTTTCAATGAGTATCTACACATGCTACATGCATTAACTTTTAACATTTGTGCGGTGTAGCAGTAACTTCAAACAAGTGGTAACTACTCTCTGCTGCTATGGTCTTGGGTGTGTGTGTGTGTTTTTAAATATGTGTGGTATTCAATTAAACAAACTATGTACAATGTGCACAATGTGCAATGTACTCACTTAGTTAGCGGAGATGAAATTTCACCACAGCAGTTCCCTTTGGAACCCGAAATTATTCAGATCGCAACTGATGCGATCTGCTTGATACCATAAATTATTATTAGTATTGTTTCCTGATATCCATGGTCGGCCTGCGAAATTTGGGCTACCGATATCCAGCTGAAAATTTCATACTTGTACCAAAAATACGGTGTGGAATCAAGCTGTAATCGAAAATAAATAAAAAAATAAATAATTCCTAGAGGAACATAGGGCTTCAGCAGTACGTCTCCGTTGCTTTCGGTTCTCTGCTTCACGTCTGACCACATGCTTTCATCTCCTCTCCACATGACCTCCCTCATGTCACTGTCTCATTGACGACTGACTCGCCGCTTCCCATTCGGTTTCCACTCGAGTGATGGCCTGTCTTGTGACGTCACTTAATGGTTTCCTCTGAATATGGCTTATCCACCTCCATTTCTTCCTGAATATTTGTTGCACAACTGGTTCCTGTTGGGTTGGTTCGCTTCCAGAGAGCCCTCCCTGTTGTTGATCTTTTCTGGCCAGCCATCTGATCTTGAGTTGTATTGAGCGAAGACAGCTGTTGATGAAGGTCTGTAGTTTGTTTGAGGTGCTCTTCATTACGCGCTGGCCAAGTCTCTGATCCATCCGAATAGTAGCACTGACTTCACATTAGAGTTGAAAATCCGGATCTTATTTTTGATGCTGAGTAGGGTTATCGACCTCCACACAGACTTGAGAGTGATGAAAGCTTGCCTTGCCTTCCCGATCCTCGCTGCTTTGATATTCTAATCAGTTCTGTCCGCCTGTAGTTTAAATGACATTTCCCAGATAGGTAGGTGAAGGAGGTTGCTTCTTTCAGATTTCTTCTATTTAGATACCATAAATAGTGATCAAGAAATTAACATTTTTCCATAAAACTATATACTACTGATTTATTGAGATGATTAGTAGTTGTATACCACTGATACAGACCGGTAGGGCTTGCTAGCTAACCGGGCACATTACTGATGAGCTTGGCCGGAAACCAAGAAAGCGGCCGATCTGGCTGGCTAGCAATCATTATTGTTTGATGTAAGTGGTGGTATTACACAACTAATAATCTCAATCAGTCAGTAATGTATAGTTCTATGCAAATATATAGAGTTCATTGTATCATCGATGGTTATGGGTGAGTGTAAAATGCTCACCAGCCACGCCTCTCACCATGTGGTTCAGGTTCGATTCCCCGCTGACACACTCTTAAACCTCATCTATACTTACCTAGCCAGTAGTAGTAGGCCCAGTAAAGAAGGATGGTTGGATGTGTGAGGCAATAAAAGCCACAGAAACGCTATTGAAACTTCAAAGCTTATAGGCCTTTGTTGTTTCACACTTGAAACGCAAAGGTTCTGAAATATATATATCTGGAGTTCAGCCTTTTAGGAACCCACATTAACTCATACTCATGTAGATGTGACGGTGACACTTTTCGAGGCTTTATTTAATAAAGGTTGGATAAGAAAATTGATATTGACCAACGTTGGTGTACTGTCAATCTATGGGGGTATTGATGATGAAGTGTAAATCAGCTGGTTAGGGTAACATGGATTCTGTGAGTCGCTTAACACAAACTACAATACTACCATTGTAGTTTGGCCACCACTGGTCAAACCAAAACATGGCATCATTCAGTGAAATCCACGTAGGAAGGTGTAGACTTCCTCGTTGGGATCCTCGGAATGGTAAAAACCAATGGCTGGAGACAATTGGTGATGTGGCTCACAATCCTTTTCAATGAAAGCGCAGATGCATCCACTCCTTGTGACTTATAATATCCAATAAAACGATATTGCCCTTCGATGTTACTATTCTTTTTGCCTCATATCTCTGGTCGGGGGTGGGTGCCTTGCGCTGCGGGTTGGCCACCCCTCCGTACACCTCTCGAAATGCTCCCATATGACCGGGCGTCTTACATAGCCTCTCCTGAGGAAGTCTTACTCACTGCCTTCACGTGGCGGAGGTGTTTTTCACCGAAGTGAGAGGGCAAAAGCGGATGCCCGGCGCTCTTCACCGGGTTGACTGTCCATTGGATCACAGTCTAGGGGAGATGGCTAAACCCTGATTCCAAACCTCCAACGACTGGCGTATGAAGCTCACCGGCAGACGTATGGACAAAGGGCTTATTGGACGCCCTGGATGTCTGGCCCCATTCAAAAAGGCGTATGAACCGGACTCCGGTGACCGGGTGCCAATGGATAGTGGACTCCCTACTCCACTCCTACTGCCTTGTAAGTCACACTTGGTTGTGTAAAGGCTAGAGCTGCACTCTCAAACAAAAGGCCGAGCGATCCTAGGGACAACACTCGTACCTAATTCCCGTGAAACTTCATGAACTCTCTACAACATCAACCAAATTCCAGTACTGGTCCAACAACGTCGCCTTCGGTGGTTTGGCCATGTTCTGCGCCGACCAGATGACGACCTGGTCAAATCAGTTCTAAATCCCTCGCCATTTCCATCTTGGCGATGTCGCAGGGGTGGACAGCTGAAAACATGGCTTGGTGCAGTCAAGGCTGATATGGAGTGTCTGGGACTACATACCGTCTACGGACTCCGTCTGTGGAACAAGAATTGGATAACCCTGTCGCAAAACCTTGCATCAGATCGCCGCGCCTGAGCAGCAATGCTTCGAGATGTTGATGAAGCCGGCTCATCCTCCCATAGGAGATAGCCGAAGTAAATAATAATAAAATATAATATCTCTGTTTACTGCATCTAATTTGCATTTCTTTTTACTTTCTTCTCTTGCTTTGTGTGCTACATTGAGTGTGGCGACTCGAACTGCTGCACATCGGTGTAAAGTTCTATGTTGAAACCAGTCAGTCAATAATATTCTTTGTTTTGTTTTTCCACTGATATACTTCTCTCTGTTTTTAATATTTTCTCACTTTTCTTCGTTTAATACTCTAACGACAAATTAAAGGTCTTTTGAACTGATATATTGCAACTTTGTGTTTAAACTCAGTTTAGTGATACCTGAACTACTTTGATTTGAAGTTGTTTGGTTGTCTGATTTCCAAATAGTTCAAGCATGAGATCATAATTTACACTAAACGAGGTGTTGTAGTGTAATAGCTTTGACAAATACTCTTTATATTCTTAAACTAACTATCCATTTTTAGAATTAGTTCTGTGGAATTCTTTGAAAAAACACCTGATTATTGAACAAAGAATATTCTTGGATGATAATTTCGTCATCAGATGGTTCTACATTTATATGGCTGTGATAATAATAATAATAATGAAAGAATTATTGTTATTAACAATATTAATGCAGCTTTAAATTACATTGAATGAATAATATGGACAGATTACACTTTACAAGCGTCAGTATGAGACAGATAGTATGCATTAATATAACACTACACGGAATTTATGAATTTATAACTTCGACAGCACCCCATGGTAGTAATAGTGGCGGGGCATGCCTTTCTTTTGCACTCAGACCTCCGGTTGATTTAAGAGAATTGTAATGGCCTCTAATATTTAGAGTGTTCAGTCTCAAGGGGTCTTTGGTAATTTATTCCATACCCGATAAATGATAAATAAAGAAAGACTCTTCAATACTAGCTAGCTTTGTAGCCTGTGATCTAATATGGCAATGTTGATGGTTTTAACACCTTTATTTAAACACACTAGTGTAGGTGTTCCCGAAAACGAAAATTTCGGTTCTTAGAGCAACGGTCGATACAGCTGGCTCCACAGGAGGTACTTCATCTTTCAGTTTCGGAATCACAACCGATGGTTTTGGAAGTATAAGCTGTAGCTTGCGGGAATTGATGAATGTTCTTTGAATTAATTCTGTCAGCTTGTTGGTTGTTATTATTCTTTTTTTTATTACAGCTTAATTCCACACTGTATTTTTGGTACAGGTATGGAATTTTCAGCATGTGATATCAGTAGCCCAAAATTTCGTAGGCCCACCATAGATATCGGATGTGCGTCGGCAGGGGATCGAACCCCGGAAAATATGCATGGTCAGCGAGAATCCTAACCACTGTGCTACCGACGCATTCATTCTCTTGGTATATTAGCTTTGAATTGTAGTCGTATATATAGAGGCTTCTTTTTAACAGATAGGGAAGGATTATTTCCTACCTTCTTGAACTTGTGTTTAGTGATAAACTTTTCAGCATAGCTGTTTACTTTTTCTATAGTCTGGTTTGTAAGGGTTAGTTTCGCTTTTACGAGTTGATCACAGATTGATATCATTTAGAGAACCATTGAAAACCAGAGAGTACTGGACAGCTGTTTCATCCTAGTTTGGGAGTCATCGGCAGTACGCACTCACTGCCATGACTCGAACCCAGGACCTTTCGGTTACAAGGCAAGCTCACGCTAAATCACGAATTGGTAGAAGTTAGAATTCATGAGCCATTGAATCTAGTCCCAGTGGCTGAATGGTATACGAGCTCACTGACCTTGTAACCGGAAGGTCCTGGGTTGTAACCCTCGCGGTGGGTGCGTACTGACGATGATTCCCAAACTAGTGGGATGAAACAGCTGGCTGTCCAGTACTCCCTGTGACTGGTTTTCAATGTTTCTCTAACTGATATCAATCCATGATCAACTCGTAGCTGTTTATAATTAACGCGTCTTATGCAACCTTAAGTTCGTCTTCAATCGCATCTTCTTAAACAAATATCTCTGACTCTATTATAGCTGAAGTTCTTTACTAAATTTATTTACTGTCGGAGAGGAAGAAAGCTGTGAAAATGTGTTGTTATTCTTTTTTTTACCTGGTCTGTGTATGTATTCTGGTGATTGTACTCACAAAGAAACTATCCACTTTAGGAAAGCATAATTTGTGTGATCATTCCTATCCAAATGAGAATCTTTCACACACGATTAAGCCTTATATATGTATTCATCAAACGAAGTGCCTACCCACTAATGGTTTTATGTTAACGTATTTATGCCTTTTTGGGATTATTACACCAACACATTGAGTGATGAATATGAGCAGTCTCACGCTGCATAGAAATCTAGCACTGGTGTTGTTGTTTGATGTTTGATGTCACACAAAATCGAAGACTTACAAGCGAAAACCGACAAACTGGTCGAAGAAGCAGTCGGCGAAGACAGGACTCCAGGTGAACATAGACAAGACGGAGATTATGAAAATAACCAACCAACCAACAACAACAGCATCGTCCAGCGCCAATCACC